AGGGAGGACCAATTTGAAAGAACCACTGCTTTGAGTAAAACATTCACCAAAAAGACAGTTGTTTGTTTTGAATGATAAAACAATAGACTAAGACAAAGCATTGATTTTTAATATCTGTCATTAATCAGTAATCAGGCAAAACACTAGTAGCTATACACCTGCTAAAACTGACATAATATGTTCATTAAAATGAACCAAAACACCAGCTATCAAATACATTCTCTTTTGAAAATGTAATTTACTCATCTCATTTTTCAAAATGTTCCAAATGTATTTTGCTCACAAGAACACATTTCTTAACACTTCTCCTAGATTTGAAGTATTTCTTGCTGAGATTTGCCATACTGTAAAATCTCTTAAAACTCATAAATAACATTTTACTTAAGGATTATGATCTTACCTTTCCTTACTGATTGTGGTGTCCTTTGTTTATCTGTGTCATTTTAAAGTACTCAATTACTTAATTTAACATTATTCATACAATTAATTATAATATTATTACATAAAAATACACATTTAAAAAGAAAGATGATTTCGTGCCAATGAGCAAAAAAGGCTGAGAAAAGTTAAATTACTTGGGTTCGTATTATGATATTTTGCTATCCAATGTAATGGCATTCAGACATTAATTGAGAGGTAACACTTCATAATAAGGTTTAACATTAGTTAACTTTAACAATGAAAATAGCTGTAATACATTTACTACTTTCAGTTAATTTCAGCATTTCCTAACATTATTAAAATCAAGTTTTATCTGTAAACATTTGGACCTGAGCTAACATGGACTAAGGGTGAACAGTTGCATTTTTATTAACGTTAAACAGATTAATACATGCTGTAACAAATGTATTCCTCATTGATAGTCAATACTAATTGTTGGGTATATAGTAAAAGTGTTACCAACTGGGGCTTAGCATCTAAATACTGACTTTTGGGTGGGGACCACAGAATGTACATAAGCCTACTGTAGACAGAAAATCCTAATAAATCAAGACAGCTCCAGGTGCATTTTTCATCTGCATGTCAAGCCAATCTGACCTGTTCCGCCTACCGAGAACGCTAAAACACGCGACTTACCTTTCCCGTCTTGTGGTCGAACCACACCAGAGCGTGATTCCTGGACAACACCTTGCAGTCGAAGGTGGCGTTATTCTGGGCAGGGCGACACCGGGCCACGGAGCGCCCGATCTTGACCGGCTCATCCAGGTAGACGTGACGTTCCTGAAACGGGTGTGAATTCGGGCGACAGGTGAACACGGCCAGCGCTGAAGGCATTGAGGACGGCTTGGGAGTGCTACTCCAACCAGAGACGAAAGACAGGGTTTCTTGATCCAGACTGGCCTGTTGCTCCAATTCTCCTATCTTTCTAATGAATTATCAGGAGAACAACGCACATAGTAACACGAAAAACTCTAAGAAAAGACGAGGCTGTCCTGCTGACCGACTTCATAACGTCAAAATGACTAGTCAGACACTATGTAGACGACTTCATGCCCCCTTGCAAGACCCCCATGATGCCAAACCAGCTGCCCAATTCCATACAAATCTGTTTTTTAAGATGACAGTCCACAATTTGAGTGGTTACACCTCGTTCCCTACATAATTAATCCTCATCCCCCTTCACAACCATAGGCCTGGCCAAAAAAACAACGCTAATATAACTTAAGAACCTGTTGGACCAGCTAATCTATCCTCCCCCAAAAATAAGACATGCGTTTCTAGCTTAACTGGCAATGGCTTCTATATTAAAGGGCACAAAACGCACTAACGTAAATGCTAAACCCTAATGAAGATTAATAAGGTTGAGTGGGTTTGGCTGAAGTATGCAGGACAGATCATCAACCCACCGCTCCCCAAGACAGCTCAGTCATTCAATATGAAAACAAAAGCTCAAAGACCTGATCAACCCGACATCAGCAAGCTTTTAACGATCCAAAATGCATATAACCCGCTCGCTCGGAGGGTGTTTTCTTGCACACGAGAGCGTTAGCTGGCTAACTTCATATTAGCGCGTTAGCTTCGCTGAGGTAACGGTGGCCTTTTATCCTCTTCTTATGAAGCCGTCCGGACTGGACGAGAGTTTATAAATAATTCCAAATGGATTTATCCGGGGGAGAGCAGTTATTTTTTTCGTCTGTGCAACTTTCGAGAGCGGAGATTTTGCGAAAATCCAGTATTAGCTCGCGAGCTCGATACCTAGCTTAGCTCGCTGAGAGACGCGATAAATTCCCCAGAAAACAAACTGGTAAACGAATAAAGTCCGTGACACGGTCCCCCGATAAGCCGTGGAGGTCTCCGCTCCCGGGGACACTGAAAACGGGAGGAAAAATCGCTGTGTGCGAGAGGATAATTGGAAGTAAGTCGTCCTCTGTGTCGAGAGACACACACATACACACACACCGGCCACAAACCGCCGAGAAAGGGGGCGGGGACTTTACGGTGACGCGCCAACGGGGGCGGGGCTGCTGTGAAGACGAATGGCGTTTCCAGAGAAAAGGGTATGAATGCGTTTCCATGTGGAATGAAAATTGATGGTATGGAGGCCCAAACATGCAGATTCTTTAAATAATCAATCAATCAATCAATCAATCAATAAAACTTTATTACAGACTCAAGGTCCAAATTTAAAAGACAACAGGATAACATATAAGTATAACATATAAGTAAGTCAATTAATAAATATACAGATAAATACATCTAAAAATAAATAGTTTCGTTTTTTTCTACATTAGTTTTTGTATTACTTTTTTCACTTTATGTATTAATGTATTGAATTTAACATTTATTTTTAGATGTTGTTCATTTAATTACATTTATTTTTGTGGTTTTACTGTTTTATTTATTTGTATTTTTGTTGTTTTTATTTATTTATTTATTTATGTGTTCATTTGTTTTATATTTATTTATTTCCACGTGCATTTATTTACATATTATTTATTTATTAATTATTTATTTTGTATTTATTTTTTACATTTGTATCCCCTATATTTCTATATTAGCCTACGCTAATATTAGTCTCTTTCATTCTTATTCTGAGGTCACCGTAGCCATACGGATCCAGTCTGTATCCAGACCAGATGGTGGATCAGCACCTAGAGTCGACCTCTACAGCCCTGAATGTCAGCGGAGAGCATGTCAACTAGATGCACCAGAGAGACAGATCCCCTGTGAAGACCTTGTCACCTCGTTGGCCATCAGCACAAGCCCACGGGAACCAGACGAGTCCTCTGCACAATCTGACCTGTGTTGCAGCCTGGAATTACACCACGCCATGCTGGTTTCGTCAGGCCAGAGGAGAACTGGCCCCCCGACTGATCCTGGTTTCTCCCAAGGTTTTTTTCTCCATTTCTGTCACCGATGGAGTTTTGGTTCCTAACCACTGCTTAGTTGGGGACGCTTGAATGATTGCACAGACACTATTGGAAGAGAGCTGAACTGGATGATGACATCACTGAATCATCAATGAACTGACTTTAGCTGGAAAATGACTCTTTGTTATTGTCCTCTTGCATTATTGACAAACAATTTTCTTGTTTGACAGCGCTTTAGTTGCTTTGACACAATCAGTATTGTATAAAGTGCTATAAAAATAAAGGTGACTTGACTTGACTTATAAAAATGATCACAGACTTTATGATTATAAGGTAAATTAGACCATATTCATGAGGTGCTTGCTAGAATGCCTTTTAAAAACAGCATTGAAGGAGTTCCCATGAATGCTGGACACATTTCCTTCACTATCTGGCCCAATTTATTCATTTTCAGTGTTGGGGGTAATATATTACAAGTAACGCAAGTTATTATTTTAAAATCAAACAAGCAAGCCCTGTCCAGATTAAAAAAGTAATGCAAAAGTAACGTAACGCATTACTTTCCATAAAAAGTAACTAAGTAACGTAATTAGTTACTTTTTTATGGAGTAACGCAATATTGTAATGCATTACTTTTAAAAGTAACTTTCCCCAACACTGTAAGATGCCAAACTGGAAGGGTTTGCTTAATATTCATTGACAAAACAGCTCACTTAGCAAGCACAAACAGCACAAAACAAATGCATATTGGCAAAACCAAAGCATTTGGAAGGGGCTTCTAGGCTCCCAGTAAAAGTACAAGTTATTTATGGAGTTCAAAATCATTCCTGGAAGGAGGAGTGTTTCAAAGCTAGCTCCACCCCCAGTCCCTCTGTTTGGACTTGGAATCTGTGGACTAAATTACACTGAACATCTGTCACTCCAAATGGAGCATGCTGATTTTACTCTAATGTCTTGCTCAGGCTAATCCAATTGCTTTGTCTTGGTTCTTATGCGACCCATAAGAAGTAATTAAGTGATCACTGTTGGAACATCTATATGCAAACAATGATGCGGTTCAGTGATGCCTGAGACTTTATATGATGTTAAAGTGCCAGGCCACCATATGAACTCCATTCTGCTCTGCTCATTTGATTGAAAATAGACAACAGAGCCTAACATGTTATTACTTTCAACAAGTGTGCCACAGAAACCACATATTTCATAAGCCTTCCAATAATATTAAGCTGAAACCAAACCATATTTGACCTATCGGATTGGATTAAATAAATTACATTAAACAAAATTATGCAAAGATGGACTTCGGAAAGGATTATGTTTTTCTCTGTTGCATGAACTGAATTAGAATAAGAATTTAAGAATTTATGTTTATTGGCCAAATTACACTATAAGCAATTTGCCTGGGGGGGTTGCTCAAAAAAATAAAAAATAAAATTAACATGCCATGTCAATCATATATATATATATATATAGGCTATATAGTCTTTTTGTCGGGTAGATCTATAGTTTGCAAAGAGCATACTTCTTTTTATGTATATGATATTTTTTTAATAAAATAAATTATTGCATAGTGTATTGTTATGTACATTACAAAATGTCATTCTGAAAATAAAATACACAATTTTTTTTATCATACGAGAGTTAGAAAGAATCATCAACCTAGTAAATGCAAGAGACACCGTGGCTGCGTGCGCGCTCCCGTAAAAATCCTGACCTCACTTATGACGTTAGCACGCTGTCGACGCAAGCTCCGCCCCCTCCGTCCTGGACGTGTTTGTATTTACAGCGCAAGTTCCTCCAGCTTTCATCAATAAACCGAGTCCGATCACACCTGGACCGAACTGAGGGTATCACCATGGCCTTTCAGGGGTCTGAGGGACTGGAAGAACAGATCGAGGAGCCGGAAGATACTCTGAGAGTTTCCCCGGCGGAGGAAATGCCCGTCGATGGGCCTCCAGCGATAGAGGAGCCGGAGCCGGAGCCGTTCCAGCTGCCGTGGGGGGACTGGAAGAACAGATCGAGGAGCCGGAAGATACTCTGAGAGTTTCCCCGGCGGAGGAAATGCCCGTCGATGGGCCTCCAGCGATAGAGGAGCCGGAGCCGGAGCCGTTCCTGCTGCCGTGGGACCGCTTCTCCTCCTGGCTCCACTGCATCTGTGTGGTCGGCTTCGATCTGGAGCTCGGGCAAGCTGTGGAGGTACAGCACACTGTCAGATTAGTGCTGTCTGTTCGGTTGTCATCTGTGAGGTAGCTAGCTAACTGTGTGGAAGTCAATGGAAAACCTGCTAGCATCAGTGGCTAACAAAAATAGTATATATATATATATATATATATATATATATATAGTACTGTGCAAAAGTTTTAGGCCAATATTATTTCCACCAACAAAAACAATGGATTTAAGCCAGTTATTTCGTTCTTTTGCTGTAGTGTGTCAGTGGGAAATATCAGTTTCCTTTACCAAAAATTCCTTTTGCCATTAATTGTAATAATCCAGTGAGATTTTTTTTTGCACAAGGAGTCTGATAGCAGCCAGTGCTCTGATCTGATCATCATCAATCCAGAAGAACTGTGGCAACGTCTCTGAGATGCTTCAAGAAACCTTCCTGCAAAGATACCTGAAATACTATGTGCAAATGTAGCTTAGAGAAAAGCTGTGAGAAGGGTGAAAAAGGGTGGTTGCACCAAATGTTGATTTGATTTAGTTAATTGATAAAGAACATCTATTTATGACATTATTTTTGAAAGCATCCTCACTTTACAGCATTTTTACACAAGTGCCTAAAACTTTTCACAGTGCAGCTTTGCAGGAAGGTTTCTTCAAGTGTCTTGGAGACGTTGCCACAGTTCTTCTGGATTGAGTCTGTCTCAGTTTCTTCTGTTTCTTCATGTCATTCCAGACAGACTGGATGATGATCAGATCAGATCTCTGTGTGCAGCACTGGCTGCTGTCAGACTCCTTGTGCAAATAAAAATCTGGATTATCACAATTAATGGCAAAAGGAATGCTTGGAAAATGAAAACGGATATTTCCTACTGACGCACTACAGCAAAAGAACGAAATAACTGACTTAAAACCATTTTTTGTTGTTGGTGAAAATACTAATGGCCTAAGACTTTTGCACAGTACTGTATATATATATTTTTTATAATTTGCTACTTTTTATTTTATTGCAATTTGCTGTAATTGCTTGCAGTTTTATAGTACAGCAGGATAAAGCAGTGCATGTTACTGTGACTGACATTGTGATCAATATGTCTGAAAGATTCAGTAGCTATGAAATATTTGTGCATTAAAAATATTTTAATCTATGTGCCATTTATGCATTTGTGAAATGCAGTTTTAAAAATACAAAAAAATTTCATTTTCCATGTTATTTTTTTCTACTGTAGGTTATCTACCCACACCACTCCAAACTCACTGAAAAAGAGGTACCAAACTGTTCTTTTTTTTATATCGTCCTGTCAGATTAAACATGAATTCAGATGAATTGTAAGATATTGAGTGTTCTTTGTTTCTCTCATTTTAGAAAACAAGTATATGCTATCTGTCATTCCCGGACTCCAATTCAGGTAAATTGCATTCCTATCCAACTATGGATTTTTTAAAGGCTTTCATGGTTCTTCCTGTATCTGTTGTAAATAATAAATAGTTGATGAAATGCGCAAATGCATAGATGTAGATTTGAACATGCATGAGTTGAACAATGCCTAAACGTTTAATATTTTATATCCAGGGTTATTATAGTTAACTAAAGCAAAAACCATAAAACTATTTATCAGGGTGTCCGCGGGTCCTTAAAAATTTAAAACATTAATCTCATAACATTATTTATTGCAGTTGTAATTATTGTTATTTGCAGTGTAAATTATTTAATCTGACTGGTAGCAGCCCTATAGTGTATATTTAATTTATTGATAAATTGTAATAATTTGACATGTAAGATGATGCATACATCTAAAAAGGTTAAAAATAGGCCTTTGTAAAGGTAAATATGCAGATTTAAGTATGTAAAAGCTGATAGAACACTGATGAAAATATTGCTTCAGAATAAATTGTTTACTCCACCAAAAATCTCAGCGATGCAGTTATTTTGCGGGGATATTTTGTATGGAATATTGTCTGCTGACATTAAAAGTTCGCTGTATATCGTAGTTATAAATACCATTTATTACAGCAAAGATATTTTGTTTTCTTTTTAATTTATACACATTAAATATTAAATGTATGTATGTAATAAAATGTGTATTTCCATTACAGGTTTAGGTCTTAAATTTCATATAAGGTGGTATTAAAAAGGTCTTAAAGTCTTAAATTTAACTTGTTCATGTCTGCAGAAACCCTGATTTATGGTACTTGAAATCAGATAAATGCTAATTGAAATAAAATAAAATATAAACATTTTAAACTTATTTTAATTCAGCTTGCTTCCAAGGAAACATTTCTAATTTTCATTTAGTTTAACGTGATGTACTTAAACTAAAACTGAAATTAAAAAAAAAAATGGCTAAAACACACAAACAATTAATTACTAACATTTTAACAAAAATGTAAAAAATATATAAAAATAAAAACTATAATAGAATCTCATTGATACTAAAACGTTAATGTATTTTTAAAACCTGGCATAAACTTCAATCACTCTCCATACTGTATGTGAGTATTACTAGTGCTCAAAGTGTCTGTTTTGTGATTAAGCAGTGCAGTCGTAGTATGTGACTTGTGTTTTCCTGCAGTTAAGGTTTGATTTAGAGCGTTGTAATTCATCTGAGTGAGAACTATGACCCGTGTGTCTTATGCTAATGTGTGTGGGATGAGAGTTTGACATCCTCCCTCTAGCAACACCACATGCATATTCAGAAAGAAACTCTCAGCGTGGGTTGTGGAGTATCTGACTCTTCTGTGTTAGAGATATTAATGGACAGTCACTGACTGAGTAGGTCAGTATCTGCGATTGCACACTTGTAGTTGCTTTGTAACAGTGTGTATTTTGATGAAAATTGATCATGTGAGTTTGTTTCTTCATGGGAACAGATTCTGAGAAAGTTAGCTTCACATAGCTTGCTCAGCAATGGATACTCTGCAGTGAATGGGTGCCGTCAGAATGAGAGTCCAAACAGCTGATAAAAACATCACTATAAATCCACCAGTAATCCACACCACTCCAGTCCATCAGTTCACATCTTGTGAAGTGAAAAGATTGTTTGGTGAAGTTTGTAAGAAATAAATCCATCATTAAGGCGATTTTAACTTGAAACCGTTGTTTCGGTCTAAAATACCAGTTCATAATCCATAATAACACTTCCTTCAGTGAAAAAGTGGTTTGGTCTGAATTAGTAGAGAAATCTGCACAGATCAAGCACCGGTTACAAGCTAAAACCGCTCTAAACAAATATGTGGGTGGATTTTGATGTGAGAGACAACAGGAGATGGACTTTTTCACTGGAGGAAGTGTTTTTCTTTTTCTTTTTTATGTACAAAATTAGTTTTAACGTTTTGCATTTTATGTTAACAGCTTTGCTTTTCTCTAACAAAAGTCTTCAGCATTCGTCAGTACTGTAAATAGAGCAGTTGTTTTCCACAGTATTCAATTCAGTTAAATTCAAGTTTATTTGTATAGTGCTTTTCACGATACAAATCGTTGCAAAGCAGCTTTACAGGAAATGATCAGCTGTGATAAAAATGGCATCTCTGATCTTCACACAGATTCAGCTCTGCGTGTTGCTTTAGTTTGTAATAAACTTGGGTTATTAATAGCGATGCGGTACAAACGAGGAGGAACAGGATTTGAAGATTACAGGACAAGTCGTGTTCATGACTTTGTAAATACGCAGACGCTCTTATTCTGCATGAGTGTGTTTGTGGAGTTCACTCACCGCTAGTGAATCCACCAGTGAATCTCCTGTGATATTGATCATGTTCTCGTCTTTCTGAAACTGGAGAACCTGATGTATGAGCAGACATCCTATCCCATCATTCTACTCACTTCAGCTCTCCTACAATACAATATGCTATCTTACAGGATGTAGCATGTCTTGTTGAAAGCGCAGATGTGTATCATATTTTACAAACTAGTAAAAAGCAATCTTATCAAATATGTATTGTATGTATGTGTGTGTGTGTGTGTGTCCTGTTTAATTTAATTTTTTCTGAGCAAAAACAATAATGACTATCATACATTTTTACTACGATTTACAGAAAAAATGTCATTCAGTGTGACAATAGTTTAATATACTGTGTCAAAAAATCTTGTCAGGTTTAGAACAAGAATCATTAGATGACATTAAAGACTTGATTTAAGGATCACAGTGAAGCCCCCCAAAATTAATTAATTGTTGTTTTAAATCTTTACCAATCGTTGCCACTCTCTTTTGCCTATTTGTCAGCAATAAGTTTTTAATTATGTAATATATATATATTAGTATGATCACTTATTCTTTTATATATTGTAATAAGTACAGGTCAGAATAAATATGTTGTTTAATTTTTACGTAAATATGTGTGTTACGATAAATGACGATGGAAGATTATTTCATCTATATTTTGACTGTTTTTCACAAAAGTTCTATGAAACATTCAAATTGACGCATTTAATATGTTTTTATGTATACAAAATCACACACACACACACACACACACACACACACACACACTATATATACTGTATATATATATATATATATATATATATGAAATTGATTAAAGAAATGTATTAAAAATTACAGTAAAGATTTCAATCGCAAATAAATGTATCATGGTTCCCACAAAAAAAAAACATATGAAGCAGCACAACTGTTTTAAACATGTATAATAATAAATATAATAATAATAATAATAATAAATGTTTCTTGAGCAGCAAATCAGCATATTAGAATGATTTCTGAAGGATCATGTGACACTGAAGAATGGAGTAATGATGCTGAAAATTCAGCTTTGATCACAGAAATAAATTACAGTTTAACAGATATTCACATAGAAAACATTTAAAATTGCAATAATATTTCACAATGTTACTGTTTTTGCTGTATTTTTTAATCAAATAACTGCAGCTAAAATCTTACCGACCCTTTTGAACTGCAGTGTACTTAATGGCATCCATTAACCATGGTGAAATCCCAGTATTACAGTGATTTTATTTTATTTTTTGGGTTTAATACACTTCGATGAGCCATTCTGCGCTTGCAGGATATCCTGTTGTAAATGGTCTGTTTGACAGATGTTGTAGAAAAATCCAGATGCAACCTGCTAATCAAACCTGAATCGTTCTTTTACTAGAGGACATCCGGTTCTCATAGCCCGTGATTCATTGTTGCAGTGATCCGCTCGAAATATCGCCATTGTGCTGTTTTGAAAAAGCCTCTCATCTCTGACATCAGTTTCCCGGAGCCGTTTTCCTCGCGGAGGGCCGAGAGTCAGATGCCGGTGTCTGCGGGTCAGGCTGTGCATATGGATATTTGTGGCGTGCGTTAGCGTCTTCTCTCGCATGCTGTGGGTGAGCCACAGTCATGGCGAGGGAGAAGCATGCGGGTTGCTGTGGCAACAAAGTTCCTGCCACTCCATGTGATGTGAAGAAGTGCGTCTGTTGTGACATATTACGTGCTATTTGCTCTCTCTCTCCACAGCAATGCAGCCAACTGCACATTTGTTTCAGTTGTGCTCAGTAGATCTGTGAACGTCTTACTCAGAATGATGGGGGAGAAATCATGTATGAAGTGTGCGGTTTTGTTTATACACTGAAAAAAATATGGTATAGAAAACATTTCATTCAGAAATTGCTGGTAAAGTACACAGATAATCACAAGGAATCAGCAAGTTACACACTGAATTAAACTTGACATTTTGAAATGGTATTTTCTTGTAAAACGTACTCCAAAAATCAGTAACTTCATGAAAAATTATTTGTAGAAAGCTGCAAGTACATTGTATTTGGAGCTTGTAGTGGAAATATTAATACTTTAATTATGAATCAGTTATAAAATTGTCAATAGCAGTGTTTTGAATAAACATTGAAATGTTAATGGCTAACGTCACAAGCATGACTATTTTTGACTATTACAGAAAAATGGCATTTTTTTAGAAGAACTGACATTTACAAAAAGTATAAAAATGTCTCTGTAAAAAATATATTTGTCACATTGTTATTTTAGTATCATTGAGATACTAATTTAATTCTATTAATATTTTGAATCAGTTTTTATTTGTATATCTTCAGGTTTCATTCATTTTTCATTTTATGTCTTATATATATATATATATATATATATATATTTAATACATCAAGTTAAACTAAATCAAAATGAGAAATGTTGCAACTAGCTGAAATTAAAACTTGTTCTATATTTTATGTTATTTTAGTTAATGTTTATTTTATTTCAGGTAACTGTTTTTTTTATAGTTTAATTTTAGTTTCAGTTTTAGTTAACTATAATAACCCTGATTGGTCAACATATTTAATTCTCTGTCTTCAGTGTTTTCTATAAGGACCTTTTTAATTAACGTCTTGTAAATGTTGATGTCACAACCATGACTGTTTTCGAACAAGCCGTTTTGTGCTATCATTTTCTTTACAGAAAAATGCCGTAAATTTGTTAGACCTGATTTCAAAAACACTTGACTAGAAAGATGTGTATCTATGTAAAAAAAGATATATTTGTGAACCTATTCATTTCTGTTTTTAGTGCTTTCCATGATAATGCCCCTTTAATTATCATCTTACATGTAGCGCTAGTTATTGATTGAAGCATAATCATTAAATTATTGTCCTGATGTAATGAGCGAGTAGTTGGACGTTGCTCGTTCTCAGACATGTGTTCAGCAGGATTAGCTTCTAAATGTTGCGTAAACGCTGCTTTTGTTGAGGAAAGGGTTAACCGAGCGCATGAGGTAATCCATCAGTCACAGCCCACAGATAGAGCCAGTAATCCAGTTTCACACTCGCACAAACCACCTTCCTTGTGGCCCACACAATGATCACTGTATGTAGAAAAGACAGAAATAGAGACAAACACACAAACACGGCGGTCCTGATCTGAACCGGAACAGTTGGGTCCGTCCTGAAGACATCAGAAGTGACGTATGAGTCTGTGGCTCTATCCGCTTGTTAAGTCTGACGTCACGTGTCACCGCTTCCGTGTCCAAACGCTCTATCAGATACCACGAGAAAACAACAAAAGGTGCTAATATACACTCACAATGTGATATAATACTACCAAAAAAAATTATAATCCTAACCTTTAACTCCATACCGAAGTTCCAGATAGCCAGACGATGAAAATATAAATATAAATAAATACATATAAAAATAATTTGTGTTTGGGACGCTGTGAGCATTAAGACTGTAGTGTAGACCGTAAGTTTGAAAACGTTTAGCTTAAATGTTTAATATGAATAAACAGTGCTCATAAACGGCTGCTGAGGTAGTATTCTCAAGTGAAGCGAGTTGAGGCTTGGACCCGGAAACAGCGCTTCTTACGTCACCACTTAACAACCGAATTGCTTATTCAGGAATAATCTCCAGTTGGCTGTTTAATTTATGGATGTTGCATCTGTGTCTAAAAGACCTGTAAATGTCATAATTATATTACACAACATACAGATTATTTTATTTGAATGTTTTATTATATTATTTTAGTTATTATTATTATTTATTTATTTTTGAGATTTCAAGCTTAGTGTTATTCAGTGATTTACTGAGAGTTTATATTATTAATAATATATTTTATTATGTTATATAATATTCTATTATTTTGTATTTATTTATTTTTCAGAGATCTGCAGCTTAGTGTTATTCATAGTGATGTACTGAGACTTCATGTAGTAATTATAAATGTTTTAAGACCCCATGAAATCAAAATAATTGTTTTGTTTTTGTGGATTTTTTTAAATTATGTGTTGGTTTTGAGGCCATTTTTGCTAGTGCACTCCGAAAAAAGTTGACATTTTTAAATGTAATATATTTTCTGGAATTCTGGAAATATTCATTGTAATGGAAAAGAAAATTTGATGACATCAAATCTCATTCTCTCACACCTGAATTTGAAGTGCCTTCATTGATGTCAAGTGCGGTTTTGCTGTACTGCGATGTAAACTAAAGCCTATCGGCTATTTTAAATGGCAAAAGCACATCAAATTGGTACCGTGGCCTTTATTTCTGAGAATAGACTGATTTTGCAGCCCAAATATTGTGGCTGAAGTCAGATTTGTTTTGGAAAAAACAAGCACTTCAGATGAAAACGACATGGTTTCAATAAAATGGCCTTGATTCAAGCTGCGTAGTTTTGCAGATAAACGTGACTGTTTGTGCCTCTGCTGCTTACAGGTTGTCTCGGGGACACACAGTTCTGCTTCCGTTTCCGGCAGGCCGCAGGCAGGAAGTCGTCACTCGGATGTTTCCTCGACCACTTCGACCGGGATGCGCCGGTCTGTCTCAAGGTCAGTGCTGAGGACGTCGACATCAACCTATAAATCATAACTGATCCTGTTAATGAAGTAGAGACTGCCCTTATCCGAAATACTTCTGCAAATAGTCTGTTACATGTCATTATTACTAATATGGAATGTGCTTGTTTTGGTCTTTCCACAGAGAGATCAGGGCTATTACTACGGGTATGTGTACTTCAGACAGGTGCGAGACAAGTCGCTCAAGAGAGGCTACTTTCAGAAGGTACAAACAAGATGATTTATCCCTCACCGTGAACCTGAAGTCTCATGTTGATCAGGGACATGATGAATTTAAAGTGACATCTGCTATTTGTTATAACATGCAGGTTGCTTCTGGCAGTGCGAGAAACGACTCCAGTGAAGCATTTTTTGTCTCATCCACCCAAGAGCTAAATCTTGGCCCTTTTTTGCACATTATAACTTGTACAACGTTGGCAACATACACACTGCAGCTAAATTCAGTTGCTTAAAGGGACAGTTCACCCAAAAATTAAAATTCTGTCATTTACTCATCCTCAAGTTGTTCCAAACCTGTGTGAATTTAATTTTTCTGCTGAACACAAAAGATGATGTTTTGAAGAATGTGGGTAACCAAACAGTTGCTGGTCCCCATTGACTTCCATAGTATGGGGGGAAAAAAAGTTCTTAGCTGAAACCATGGTCTTTAGTGATTCATGAAATCCAAGTCAACAGCTGCCGTCATTTAAGAGTCAAAAAAGCGTATCTAGAAACAAAATTAATCCCTGTGGCTCCTGACGATATATTGAGGTCTTATGAAGCGAAACGATCAGTCTGTGCAAGAAACTGAACATTATTTACAACATTATTACCTGTAATCCAGAGCCTCAGGCAAACGCAAATGGTCCGGAGTGATGTCCTGTTCACAAATGAATCATTCTTTTGAACAATATTTTTTTAGTGAACTAGATGAACTAGTTCACCAAATCAGACTGAATCATCTGAAACGTTCACGGCTCGAGCAGCACAGATCTACAAGTTACTCAATCAAAACTCACTTTCAGATGCCTGACAGTCACTCCGGCTCGAAATGAGCCAAAATACCGGTGTATCAGATCCTATGATGAACTCATTCAGCGCTCCAGTTCCTCCAACAGTCACTGAACTGAGAAAACCGTTCAACTCGGACCGGAGACCGATGAGCCGCTGATATGCGCATGTGTGAACCGAGCACTTTAATGAAGGGAAGAAATTAACATTTTTATGGTTTCTTATCGTTTATGTAAAAAGGTGAGCTGATGAAGACTAGTTTATTCTCGTTATATGATTTAGACATGTAAAACATCCATGTTTTACATCATTATTGGGTGCTTTAATAATATCATTGCGTACATGTTGTCATTTTGTGATTACGTAAACAAACTGGTGAATCGGTTATTTGAATCAGTTCTTTAAAACAAACTGTCCGAAAGAAAGAGTTTGCGGAAAAGAATCATATTCCCCCGTTTGCCTGAGTCTCTGGATTACAGGTAAAAATGTTGTAAATAATGTTCAGTTTCTTGCACAGACCGATCGATTGACTTCATAAGAGCTCAATATATCGTCAGGAGACATGGGTATTAATTTTGTGCTGCCTGTATATGCTTTTTTTTTTTTTGACTCTCAAGAGCTGGTAGCTGCTTGCTTGCATTTTATGAATCACCAAGGACCACGGTTTTAGATAAAAAAATCTTCTTCACTGTTTTACTGAAGAAAAAATCAAGTCACCTACATCTTGGGAGAGCTATCCGTTTAATATGACAACAGAGAAAACAACAAAAGGTGCTAATATAAACTCACAATGTGATATATTACTACCAAAAAAATTATAACCCTAACCTTTAACTCCATACCGAAATCCCAGATAGCCAGACAATGAAAATATAAATATAAATAAATAAATATACAAATGATTTGTGTTTGGGACGCTGTGAGCATGGAGACTGTAGTGTAGACCGTAAGTTTGAAAACGTTTAGCTTAAATGTTTAATATGAATAAACAGTGCTCATAAACGGCTGCTGAGGTAGTATTCTCAAGTGAAGCAAGTTGAGGCTTGGACCCGGAAACAGCGCTTCTTACGTCACCACTTAACAACCGAATTGCTTATTCAGGAATAATCTCCAGTTGGCTGTTTAATTTATGGATGTTGCATCTGTGTCTAAAAGACCTGTAAATGTCATAATTATATTACACAACATACAGATTATTTTATTTGAATGTTTTATTATATTATTTTAGTTATTATTATTATTTATTTATTTTTGAGATTTCAAGCTTAGTGTTATTCAGTGATTTACTGAGAGTTTATATTATTAATAATATATTTTATTATGTTATATAATATTCTATTATTTTGTATTTATTTATTTTTCAGAGATCTGCAGCTTAGTGTTATTCATAGTGATGTACTGAGACTTCATGTAGTAATTATAAATGTTTTAAGACCCCATGAAATCAAAATAATTGTTTTGTTTTTGTGGATTTTTTTAAATTATGTGTTGGTTTTGAGGCCATTTTTGCTAGTGCACTCCGAAAAAAGTTGACATTTTTAAATGTAATATATTTTCTGGAATTCTGGAAATATTCATTGTAATGGAAAAGAAAATTTGATGACATCAAATCTCATTCTCTCACACCTGAATTTGAAGTGCCTTCATTGATGTCAAGTGCGGTTTTGCTGTACTGCGATGTAAACTAAAGCCTATCGGCTATTTTAAATGGCAAAAGCACATCAAATTGGTACCGTGGCCTTTATTTCTGAGAATAGACTGATTTTGCAGCCCAAATATTGTGGCTGAAGTCAGATTTGTTTTGGAAAAAACAAGCACTTCAGATGAAAACGACATGGTTTCAATAAAATGGCCTTGATTCAAGCTGCGTAGTTTTGCAGATAAACGTGACTGTTTGTGCCTCTGCTGCTTACAGGTTGTCTCGGGGACACACAGTTCTGCTTCCGTTTCCGGCAGGCCGCAGGCAGGAAGTCGTCACTCGGATGTTTCCTCGACCACTTCGACCGGGATGCGCCGGTCTGTCTCAAGGTCAGTGCTGAGGACGTCGACATCAACCTATAAATCATAACTGATCCTGTTAATGAAGTAGAGACTGCCCTTATCCGAAATACTTCTGCAAATAGTCTGTTACATGTCATTATTACTAATATGGAATGTGCTTGTTTTGGTCTTTCCACAGAGAGATCAGGGCTATTACTACGGGTATGTGTACTTCAGACAGGTGCGAGACAAGTCGCTCAAGAGAGGCTACTTTCAGAAGGTACAAACAAGATGATTTATCCCTCACCGTGAACCTGAAGTCTCATGTTGATCAGGGACATGATGAATTTAAAGTGACATCTGCTATTTGTTATAACATGCAGGTTGCTTCTGGCAGTGCGAGAAACGACTCCAGTGAAGCATTTTTTGTCTCATCCACCCAAGAGCTAAATCTTGGCCCTTTTTTGCACATTATAACTTGTACAACGTTGGCAACATACACACTGCAGCTAAATTCAGTTGCTTAAAGGGACAGTTCACCCAAAAATTAAAATTCTGTCATTTACTCATCCTCAAGTTGTTCCAAACCTGTGTGAATTTAATTTTTCTGCTGAACACAAAAGATGATGTTTTGAAGAATGTGGGTAACCAAACAGTTGCTGGTCCCCATTGACTTCCATAGTATGGGGGGAAAAAAAGTTCTTAGCTGAAACCATGGTCTTTAGTGATTCATGAAATCCAAGTCAACAGCTGCCGTCATTTAAGAGTCAAAAAAGCGTATCTAGAAACAAAATTAATCCCTGTGGCTCCTGACGATATATTGAGGTCTTATGAAGCGAAACGATCAGTCTGTGCAAGAAACTGAACATTATTTACAACATTATTACCTGTAATCCAGAGCCTCAGGCAAACGCAAATGGTCCGGAGTGATGTCCTGTTCACAAATGAATCATTCTTTTGAACAATATTTTTTTAGTGAACTAGATGAACTAGTTCACCAAATCAGACTGAATCATCTGAAACGTTCACGGCTCGAGCAGCACAGATCTACAAGTTACTCAATCAAAACTCACTTTCAGATGCCTGACAGTCACTCCGGCTCGAAATGAGCCAAAATACCGGTGTATCAGATCCTATGATGAACTCATTCAGCGCTCCAGTTCCTCCAACAGTCACTGAACTGAGAAAACCGTTCAACTCGGACCGGAGACCGATGAGCCGCTGATATGCGCATGTGTGAACCGAGCACTTTAATGAAGGGAAGAAATTAACATTTTTATGGTTTCTTATCGTTTATGTAAAAAGGTGAGCTGATGAAGACTAGTTTATTCTCGTTATATGATTTAGACATGTAAAACATCCATGTTTTACATCATTATTGGGTGCTTTAATAATATCATTGCGTACATGTTGTCATTTTGTGATTACGTAAACAAACTGGTGAATCGGTTATTTGAATCAGTTCTTTAAAACAAACTGTCCGAAAGAAAGAGTTTGCGGAAAAGAATCATATTCCCCCGTTTGCCTGAGTCTCTGGATTACAGGTAAAAATGTTGTAAATAATGTTCAGTTTCTTGCACAGACCGATCGATTGACTTCATAAGAGCTCAATATATCGTCAGGAGACATGGGTATTAATTTTGTGCTGCCTGTATATGCTTTTTTTTTTTTTTGACTCTCAAGTGATGGTAGCCATTGACTTGCATTTTATGAATCACCAAGAACCTCGGTTTTCAGCTGAAAATCTTCTATACTGTTATACTGAAAAGAAAAGTCACCTACATCTTGGATGGTCTGAGGGTGAGTAAATTAACAGCTAATTTTCATTTTTGGGTGAACTATCCCTTTGTGACGCTGACATATTTAAACGTGTAATAGTTGTGTCTCTCTTCTGAATGCACGGTTCAAGAAGTCACAGGGAACGAGGAACGTCTAGACTCAGTGTTGCCAGATCTTGCTAGAAAATACTGCAAACAAGAACAAGCCCATAATAAACCCAAATATTGAAAATAAGACCAAATTGTTGTGACCTGCACTTGCCTACATTATTAACCCCATAAACTGGATCGCTTTATAAGCCAAGCTCAAACAACAAAACCAAAGGCGCTTATAATAAGTGGACATGGCAATGCTTCAAAAGCGTGCCCTTAAAAGCAGCTTTCCCAAACATAAATCATTCACACGATGGTGTGGTTAAAATTGCTGAAGTTATCCAGTCTTTGGTCGCTTTAATATCAATTTGTGGATGCCAAAACATTGCAGTGCTTACCACGGTGTCAGTCATCACAATTTTGGTTGTTTGTTTTGTTCCGTACACACAAAACTACGGTGGCCGTGAAGTGCAAAACAAATCTAATTATTAAATGGATGCCACCTTATTGGTACAATAAAGCCCTCCCTACACCTACCCTAACCCTACCCGATACTTTATTTTCAACTTTTTGATTATTTCCTTAATTTTTATTGAAAATAAATGCCTTTACGATGTGATACGAGATTTGAAAAGGGAGAAAAAAAAGTTCGGCAAAAGGCGGAATCCAACCCGTCAAAAAGCCAAGGGCACGCGCTTATCCATCTGCGTCACTGGAACTGATGATTTACAGCCACTTTTAACTAAATGTAAATAGACACCCCGTATTTTTTATTCCATAGTAAGAGCAACTCATACAATACATTTAAACTGAGCTACTTTAATACCATCTCCGAACTTTCTACCAGGACTCTGCTGTTCTTCGGCTGGTT